GGCCGCGCAGGGCCCTCGAGGGTATCCCATGGTGAACCGCCAAGTCGTCATTTCCTCGCCCTCTAGTCCGACACGTGCAATTTAGCAGGATCTAACGGAATGTCTTGGCAGACGTGTGTGTCTCGAGCTCGCACTACGTCCGCGATATGCGTCGGCGAGCGAGCGCCAAAAAATATATTCTCGCGCGTCTCACCACCATTTACGACGAAATTATTCGCGCAGTGGTGAAAGCGGCGAGAACGGCTCGCGCCGAGATGAAAAAAGAAACATTACTAGTACTCGCCAGAAATGAAGTTAATTAAGAATAAAGACACGATGACAAAAGTAAGAAATGGCAAAGCGCGATATGAATATATTATCCTAATATATTTACAAACTTTTCTTAATCATCTTTATCATATTAAAATATCATTGAAATTTCTTTTGATATGTTGGATCATTCCATAAATAGTGCGAATCAATAATTGCGCTCAAATTAAAAATCGTTACTTGAAATTTGTCTCAAGTGAAAAAACTCGGATTTGAGTTGAATTGAAATTATTGAAACAACGTCACATCGTAGTATTCGAAAGAAAAATTCATGTTCAACTCTACGCTCCGTATTAATGGTCGTTATTTGAGACTTGCTTCAGATAAAACACTTGGATTTTAATTTAGAGTCAGATCAAAGTTTCTCAGATAATATGACATGTACAATATTATATGTATACGATTTATATCTACAATTACGATTCAGCTGAGAGAGACTCTCATCGAAATCTAAATTCACATTTATACACCTCACTTGAGACAAGTTTCAAGTAACGACTATAAACACGGGCCTAAATTCAGTATCTCACGCGAGACAAGCTTCAAGTAACGACTATTAAAACGGACCTTAATACCATAATTGCGTGAGTTATTACAGCCTCTGCGATGGAAGCGAGAAAACGAATTAACTACCGACATACAAAGTACATTTAATTTAATTCTAACAAACGTCCCTCATGAATCCCTCTAAATCTTTTATTCCGCTTTACATAAATTTGCACTAAAAAAAATAAAAGCCGCATTATTTACTGTATGACTCAATATTTCGGCCAAGAGACAACTCTCAGTTTGCTTTTATTAATCTATCTTCCTGATTAAATCTCGCATCGATCTGACCCCGGCCGGTGTGATATTCGCGACGTGCCGGACGCATTCTGTGTATATCGAAAGCAGAGCGGAATCTGAGTGATGTGAGCCGATCGTTTAGCGTTTTCCCATAGCGAGCGGATCTGACCCGGGATCGGACCTCTCGGTTGGTCGGTGGGCCCAAGAAATCGCCGCCGGTAATCACGGTGCTCGTCCTCCGCCCCTGGTACCGTTTCCTCCCCCGCTATCACCCTCTCGGCTCGCCTCGACCTCCGCAAACATCGCTGGCCCTTGGCCTGCGAGACGGCCATCTCCCGACTTCTCCTCCGCGGATCTCACTTTCGCGCTTTCTCTCTTATTTTCCATATTCCCGTAACGCGCGCAAGTCGCGTGCTCCTTGCTGTCCTTTCGCCATTTCCACTTGTAGGATATCGCGCATTAGCCGCGCTATCTCCTTCTGCATTAATAGTCTATATCTAAAACTTATCTCAAGTGAGAGTGAGAGAGATTCAAATAAAGAAAACTCAAATCTAACTCTAAATTCAAATCTAAGGGAGACCTGACGTGAGGGAGAAGTTTCAAGTAACGACTATTAATATGAACATCTGAGTCCTATATTATAATACTCGATACTTGAAACTCAAGATCATCTCAAGATATTCAAATTTCAGTTGAATTTTTTAAGGAAACAATTTAGATATGAATTTTTCAGCTGAGTCATAATTACAAATGTAATGTCACAAATAATGAGGACAATCTAGAGAATTTGCGACAATTTAGAGAATCCTGCGGTCTCACGGGAGTAAATCGAATTCGGTTCGATTTTCGCGATATCTCCCTCGAAGAGAATTCCCTTCAAGAGCTCGTTATTACGACAAAAGGCTCCAATCGTGTACGAAGAAAGTTCGGAAGTCGTGTTTCTCCCGAACGGGGGGAGATCGCCGTGGCCGTGTAACGCGCGCAATTAATTCGCCGGCCGTGCATTCTCCGCTGAAAAGGAAACACGACGCGACATTAATTTAAATAGAAAGTATGCCATTTTCGCGTCCGCGCGCCGATCGAAATTACAGCATGAATTTTAACGTATCCACGGCGGCGACCGTAAGAAAGAGGGAGAAGAGAGAGAGAGAGTGAGATCTCGTAATCGTTCGAATAACAGCGCGCTCTTTTACTCGCCATACCTCGCGCTCGATATCCTGTCGAAATTTGCCTAGAATCGCGCATAAAATTTCGCGCACAAGGCGAAACCCGGCGATTTTCATTCCCCCATTCCGACTGCGTCGCGGCTCTCTTCTCATCCTTCTAGAACCTAGATATACCAGTAGGAAGTCGATAGACGGAAGGAGAAAGCAAAATCCAAAAAGGGAGAATAAACGAATGAGTAAACGCGGGAGAGAGAGAGAAAAATTAAAAAGAGGAAGGAAAACGAAGAGAAAGAGAGAGCTTCCCTTCTCTCTCTTTCTCTCTCTCTATCTATATATATATGTATATATATATATGCATATGTGTGTGTATACACTTTCGTATCTACCCCGCGGTGTCTTCTCTTCTCTCTTCCTCGCTAAAGTCAGATCGCCCACAGGCTCCATGAGGCCGTCGTTATTATATGTTATCGCCGTGGAAGGTATGGGAACCGGCCTGAGGGGGCACTGGGTACCTACCTCGGTATTTCCCCCTCGTTGTGCCATAACGCACCGTCGGGATACACGGAGAGGAGAGCTGGCTCTCTCTCTCTCTCTCTCCTCTCTCTCTCTCTCTCTCTCTCTCTCTCTCTCTCTCTCTCTCTCGATCTCGTTCTCGCTCTCGTCGCTTCACGAGTCTGCGGAGTCACCCGCACCTTCCATCCATCCTCTTCCCTATTGCGTCCTCTGCTCCTCCTCCTCTTCCCCGACTCTTCTTTCACCCCGTCTCCTTTTCCCAGAGCATTCGTCTATTATATGCTAAATTACGACGACCTTCGGCTGCACACGCAGAACACGACACCGCTCTCGGCACGTCCGGGAGCACACGCGGGCAAACGCGCGCACGAAGCCGATCGAGCCGCGAGCTCGATTCCGAGAGCGCGCGATCCGCTGGCAAAGTCGCGAGCGGATATCTCACGCGTCGTTAACGCGTCGGACAATCTCCCACGGGTCTCTCTCCCTCTCTCAGCACGCCCACGAGATCGCCCTTGGTTCAACCTGGACAACCGACTCAAGAAATATCGTGGAAAATACTGCGTTCTGAGCGCGAACGCAAGGAAACGGAGTGTTGTCGCTGATAATTAACGCTAATTAATTATTTTATTTGAATCATGTAACATATGCGACGTTACATTTTGTAATCAGCTGAAAGACTCGCATTTAACTCTAAACTGAAATCTGAACATCTTACTTGAGATGAGTTTCAAGTATTGATTTTTAATATAGGACTCAGATACTCATATTAATAGTCGTTAGTTGAAACTTCTTCCACGTTAGATATTCAGATCTAGATTTAGAGTTAGATTTGAGTTTTTTTTATTTGAATCATATATACAACATTACATACATACTCTGCTGAAAAACTAACTCACATATAACTCTAAACTGAACATCTCATTTGAGAGGAGTCCCAAATACCGACTATAAATACAGGACTCAGGGTTTCGTCATGGAACAGCTGCTCCCGTGGCGCTGTTCCGTCGTCATTCGCCGAAGCCCACACGCGGCTACCTGAAGCAATTTCGGCAGGTGACCAAGATATCAGCACCTGCCCACACTCGGTTCACTGCTGGTCGGATAGAAAGCGCAATTTCCATGTCGTTACGTCGAACATCCGATGCAAACCCATGATGTATGTCGAAATCGTCAATGCTACATAGTATTGATCAATTCTACGCGTCATCTTCGTGTAAATAATTTTAAACATTAGTCATATGCGGGAGGATTTCCGCAAGCCGACTCGTACGTAACTCAAGCGTGACAACGTTTTCTCGGATTTTTTTTTAATCACTATCAAGCATAACGTGTTTCTAGTCGACAGTGATTAATGCTTGCGAATTTTTGCATTGACGATTAACGATATCTGTGTCCTATTTATGTCCTGTTACTCTCTTAAAGTGAATCAGTGAATAGTCACTGATATCAGTTATAAGTATAGCACTGAGCACTCAGTGCGACACTTATAATTGCAAATCAGTGCATATTCACTGTTTTCAGTGATGTTTCACAGATTCATTTTAAGAGAGTATATATATGTATATATATATACATACACACACATATACATACGTACATACATACATTATATATATTACAATTTTAATATATTAAAACATATATTAAAACGATTAATATATAAAATAAAATATATTAGCCGTTTAATTAATATATATCATCGGTCAAAAATTTATAACTATTGTATAAATCAAGCAATAGAGAAACTATGTGAAAGAAACAATTTTTTGTTTTAATATTTTTATTCTTTCCAATTTTTTTACTTTTAATCTTTTTATTTTTTTAATTTAATAAAATCGCTTGATATTGTTAATTTATTATTCTTTTTAATCTAATAGAATCGTTTGATTAATATATATATATATATATACATATATATATATATTTATTTATTTATTTATTTATTTATTTATTTATTTATTTATTTATTTATTTATTTTTATATTTTTAGCATCTAATTTTTAGTCATTTTTTCTATAATTTTAATAATTTTCATATTAATCTTTTAGAGTATTTTAATAAAAGCAACTCTAATATTAATCTGAAATCTCTAAGAGACCGAATTTAAATTAAAGCTTTTAATTAAAAATGTTTGTGAAACAATGGGTTTTAAAAGGTTGAAAATTAATTTCGACGATTTTTGCACGCGATAATTCTATAAGACGTATTTGTGCTGTTTTTCACCAGGTATCCGGAATCCAGGCTAGCGAAATTGTTCAACGGCAGCATCCCCATCGTTCTGGACTCGCTGAAGCAGCATTACTTCATCGATCGAGACGGCGGCATGTTTCGGCATATATTGAACTTCATGCGAAATTCCCGACTGCTGATACCCGACAACTTCGCCGACCTGGATCTGCTGCTGGAGGAGGCGCGGTACTTCGACATAGCACGTAAGTCAGTCGCATTTTTTCCCACTCCGTATTTGATCTCAGGTTTATCGAGAGAGTTCGCAAAGACTTCGCAGAGTCGAAGTGGAAGTCACTCTGAAATAGTTTTATCCTTTCGATTGAATGTCGCGTTCCGCTTGAATTACGTTGCGATTTCGATCCGTGCCGAGGCGTGTCGTGAAAAAATCTCGGCTCTCTATCACCGCGAAATCTCAGAACACGCGCGGTTTCTGCGGTTGACGAGAGATCTCTGGGAGAGAGAAAGAGAGAGAAAGAGACAGAGAGTTAGTGAGTCGATAAATTGCGCGCGATATATCATCTCACTGCTCATTTACTCTCGACCGACTTCCAGCTATCGACTATAATAGTAACAGTAAGAGCGAGTAGCTGTGAAGTAGCTGTTCGCCAAACAACGGAAGAAACATCTTGAGCCTCATCTAGAATGAGATGAAGTTGAAACGGTAGAAATGGTGTATTGTCCAAAGTGAGATCCGAATCTCGGAATTCGCGAAGTGGGGCAATTTTTCACAATAATTGTAATCTTTCAAATAGGCAATCTTTCTTGGAAAACAATCTTCTAAAACATAATTTCTTCGAAATATGGAAGCATACGATTGTCTCGGAAAGTTATAATGTTGAAATCGGCACAATGAGACGAGAGACAAGATGTACCGAAAAATTCAGCCTTCCTGAAAGAATTACCACAACAACAATATGTTAATAAAACGTTATTATGTTATTATAATGTTATTATGTTATTATAATAAACAGAATGAATATATAAAGCTCTGAAATCACGTAAACAATAGAGCTAATAAGAGATATCACCATTATTTTCTCTTTTTTTCAATATTTGTCTTGTTGTACTGATTTCGATGTTATAATATTTTCAGGATAATTGCGCTGAGAAAAAGATATTTGATAATTTATTTACGGAATATAAAATTATTATATACACAGAAATAAACTTTAAATCCCACAAATAAATTTTCGAGTAACTTTTCTCAGTGTGCATGCAAATATTTGAAAGGCTGGAAAGTAGACCATTTTTGATCTACTTTTCGGATTTCTGCACACCTCTTTAGGACAATGTGTGCTCACGAAACAAATGTGCGTATTTTTATCATTTTTTTTCTTTTCTTTCCTCTTTCAGCGATGTGCCGGCAACTGGAGCAGATGAAGAAGGAGCGCATCAAGAACGGCTCGACGACGACGATGTCGTCATCGTCGCCGAGCCCACCTCCGACCGGACAGCACGTCGGCCGCGGCACCACCGCCTGCACCACCGCGCCCTGCAATCGTGACACCGAGAAAATGCGCGGCAACGACGGCAACTGCAGCTACGAGTGCGTGGCGTTGCACGTGAGCCCGGACTTGGGCGAGCGGGTGATGCTGTCGGGCGGGCGCGCGCTGCTGGACGAGGTGTTCCCGGAGACGACGCAGGCGGTGATCGACGCGCGCTCCGGCGTCGCCTGGCACCAGCAAGACGCTCGCCACGTCATCCGGTTTCCGCTCAACGGCTACTGCAAGCTGAACTCGGTGCAGGCGATCACCAGGCTGCTGAACGCCGGCTTCCGGGTGGTCGCGAGCAACGGCGGCGGCGTCGAGGGCCAGCAATTCTCGGAGTACCTGTTCGTCAGGCAGGCCGTCAACACTTGACGGAACAACGCGCACCACCACCACCATCACCACCACCACCTCCACTACCAGCGCAAAACGATCTCCAGGTCGATGGTGTGCTGCCTGCAGCGCGACCAGGAGCCGGAGTGAGTTCTTCAACTGCAAACTCCCGGGAGAATCTCCCACTCAAGACTGCATCGCGGATCATTCATCACGGTCGTTCGGATCACACACGCGGAAACGGGGTGTCTCGGCACGAGGATACAAGGCTGACAAGAAGAGACCGCAACTGTCGCGCCGAGGCCAGAAAGATGATGGATCGAAATATTGTACGAGTGATAAAGTTCTCTTGAAATTTCCTGTGTGGAATTCTGCACTCAAAAGGTAGGTCGACAGTCCGAATCACCCGAGTGACTTTTCATTCATAGAGAGTGAACTCTTTCACTCTGAATTAGGGAATGATCATTTTCACTCGAAATCGAAGAGTGAATGCGATTTGAAATAGATTCACTCTGATTGACTGAAGTATTCACTCTAAAATTGAGTGAAATATTCACGCTTGTGATTTTGAGTGATAATATTTTCACTGCTGCTTTGAGCAAATTTTTGTCTGTTTTGAGTGAGATTTCACATTGCAAGAAATTTATAAGGAATAAAATAAAAGAAGAGATGTATAA